TATGAAAGCACATCTCAGCCCTTCTTCAGATCAGCTGTTGGCTGTTCCTCATGGATGTGAAGAAGCAGGGAAGAGCTGGCAGCCCTGGTGAAAGGGAAAACAGCACAACAGAAGGAGACTGGGGCTTCTTGGTCAGATCCAAGTCTCACCAGCACTGAATAGCTGGCTACCTGCCAGGCACAGGACTTCCACCGTGCTGTGGAAGGGATTTTCAAACACAGCTAGAGACCACAGATTTTTCTCCCCTCACACTGGGAGACCTGCAGCACGCACTGCATTGCAGACACAGGCCTGCATTGCTGTGCCAGTGCCTTACCGTGTCTTGCACCTGCTCTTTCATGGCTTGTGTTAGGACTGATCCTGAATAGTGAAAACCCAGAGTTGATCTGATCCTTGACAGCTGCCATCCTGAGGCAGCCTCTCACTGCTACCCCTGCTCTGGCCATCTGGATAGTTTTTTAGCAGCTCTAACCCTCTGCAGCTTCCCTAAGGGACACTTTCCAATGTGATAAGACCCATTTAACCAGGTTGGTCTCCAAAGAGGACCCCAGCCAGCTGGCTGAGCCAATGCTTCCAGGCACCTGGACTCTCCAGTTGGAGGGGGAAAGGATGGCAAGTTTATTCATGTCAAAATTAATAAAACAGCCACAAGGTAAAAAATTGACGGGTCTTCACATATATATTACAGCACCCTGCAGTGCAATTCATAAGCCATCTCTCACAGTAGCTGACAGTGCTGCTGGCAGATAAACTAAATAATGACACTGTTGTGTCCCCTACCCCTGCCTCAGCCAAGTTATTTCTTCTTCATGTCTCTCCTCTAGAAATGTATGGTAACCAGATTATCCTCAAGCCTCCCAGACTGCTTTCATATTGGATGGAAATTCAGAAGTTATTGCAGGTAGGAAAACCAAAAAAGCAGATGCAACTACACAAGCCTCAATCCCCTTGAAAAGTCGCAGTTCTTATGCAGTGGAGGCATAGGAGAATGTGGGTGAGTTACAGAGCACCTGGCAGGAAAGGCAAATAGACAAATTCTCTGGCTGGAAGCCAACCCATCAATTTCTCTCATGCATCCTCTTGTTACTGAGTATATGGACACATGTTCCCAAATGTGACCACCACCACCGACTGAATGCTCCTTCCCCTTGTACCTCACCAAGCTTGTTCAGCCACACCCCTGCTCGAGTATCCTGTGGCTTGTCTGGGTGGTTTTCCACTTACAAAAGCTGGCCTGGCAAGGTGTTCCTGCTGTAGGAAGGTAGAGGAGCAGCTGAGTCCTCAAGTGGATTCTTTATCCTGGTTCTTCTTCCTTGAACTATCCTTTCTCTGGACCTCAACATATTTTGCCCTTCCAAAGTGCAGATCTCCAGTATGGAATATCTTGCTCAGACCCTTCGTTAAAGCAACACCAACTAAATTTGCTGCCCTAGAGATCTGATGAAAGCCTGGAAAATATTAAAAAGATTTAAAGGGGGAAAAAAATGCAACTATTGACAGTGGTAAATGCGTCTTAATTAAAACCTTGGAACGCACAATTCAAACACACTCCAGTCATCCTCCAACTCCCTGCAAAAGTTAATGAGATTAGTTTTTTTTACAGTCCCCCACTGATCCATGAAGTACAAAAAGGGAGTCACAACTGAAAATTAAATATTGTGGGTACAGGGCTGGATGCTGACTGCATTTACAGGAGTTTAATTGCAACAGGATCTCTTGCAGATCCTGCTGGCATTGTTCCAGGAGGCACAATAGCAACTGCTGGGTTGTGCTGCAGGGGCAAATGTCTGGCCCTAAATAACAGAAGCAAAAAGTGATGATGAAGAAGTCCACCTCATCTTCCAAATGAAAATCAAATATCAGGTACAGTGGCTTTTCTGCTTCTTCAGTCCAAAGGAGGATATAATTACATCCTTGATTTATGAATAATAGAAGTTTGGTTGGGTTTTTTAATTTTAATCTAAAGAGTCCCCAGAGTTGCACTGTTGCCAAAGTCTCTTGTAACTCAGGCCAACAGTGAGAATGTAACAACCCTGCAAATTCCCTTGCAGAAAACAAAGCAGACTCAGTACCCCAAGGTTTGTGATAAACATCCCTTATTCACACCAAAAAAAACCCAAACACCAGGGTTCTTAATGTGTGCAAGTCTTTCAAGACCTATATAATCCATCTTAATGCAGAAGGATCACAATTTTGATTTAGATTGAGCCAGGGCTAGCTATTTGCTTAAAGCAAACGCTCTGTTTACTCTGGGATAATTTCTGAGTCTTTCTGTGTCCACTTACACATCCTCTCCCTGTTCAGGATGCCTGTTCACACAAGGAGAAATTCAGTGAGTGAAATAGACTCCACAAAGTACCCCATATGCCCTGGGCTGGTGTAGAGGAGATCTACACATGCTTTCCAGGGAAAGGGGATGAATTTCCTGCCAGTGACCCTCAGGAAGATTCAATGATAAAAGAGTATCTGATTCATTTTCTGGGGTTGAATGTCAGACAAAACATCATGCTGCTCCAGTTTTGCAGATGGATTTAGGGCACAGAACAGTATCCCAGGAAGTGACACCTGCTTGGAATGAGACCTTGCAAAAGGACAACTGTCACAATCTCCAGCCACTGGTTTATTCCACAACACAAAATCTCCCAAGGAAAAATAATAACTATATGTGCATTGTGGCCTTAGAGGAGTTTGATAGTTTTTGGCTCTTACTGGGGAAATGGGGGGGTGGGTTTAACATAATACCAGCCCTATTAATGCTAATGCTCATTAGTGAGCCCTCTATTACTTCCTAGGAGTAAAGAACTGGAGAAACTTCCTCAACAAAATCATAAAAGGGGCACTGGAAAAAGGAAAATTTGATATGGGAGAGCTATAAAGAATCAATTTTTATAGAAAGGAAGGGCAAGGGAAGAAGACAGGAAAAAATGTGTCACCTAAAAACACATGCTGGTTTTTTTTGAAATTGCCATCTGGCTTTATTATAGACTCATACAACGGTTTGGGATGAAAGGGACTTCAAAGGTCACCCAGTTCTGCCCCCCCTGCCATGGCCAAGGACACATTCTACCAGGACAGGTTGCTCAAAGCCCCATCCGACCTGGCCCTGAATACTTCCAGGAGTGAAGCATTCACAATGCCCCTGGTCAACCTGTACCAATGCCTTACCACCCTCACAGTAAAGAATTTCTTCCCAATATCTAATCTAAAACTGCCTTCTGTCAGTTTGAAGCCATTTCCTGTGGATCTGCCACTATATCAAAAATCCCTCTCCCAGCTCTTTTTTAGGCCCCCTTTAGGTACTTGAAGGCTGCTATAAGGTACTCTAAACACTTTGTCAAAGTTTGCTGGTTTTCTAAAGATGCCAGTAAAAGGGCATCTTTACTGTTTCAACCCCTTGAGAATATCCTTTAGTATTTCTCCCATGCCTCTATCTTGGAGTGGATGAAAACCCATAAGCCCTTTTAAGTGTCTCATCAAGCAAATTTTGGGGCCTTACAGGGTCCCAACCACCTCTTTCTTGCATGTTAGAGGACCTGACTTGACTATAGGCTTAGAAAGATACTCTCCAGAACCTGTCAGTGAGGTAGCAAATGTAGAGAACAGCTCTTCAGGAGAAAGGAGGGAGCTGAAGACACCTGATGGAGTCCCTGCCTGTGTCACAGTCATGGGTCAGGCTTCCCAGGAGCTCAAAAAAAAAAAAAAAAAAAAGAAGGGAAAGTAATTAAAATCCCCTCACAATAGTCCTTCTCATTCTGTGTCAATGTTTTCCATAGGCTCAGGAGTCTGATTCAGCAGCCTATGCAAGAGGGACTGATGATCAGTGTGACACACCATGCTTTCCCCATTGTTTCTCTGTGGGACATTTCAAAAGAGGATTTATCTAATCCCTTCCTGCAACAAAATATTAAGAATATTTTCCTCTAGCCCCTTATACACCACCCATAGCACCCTGCATTAGGACTTTATCTGAGTCCATAAGAGGCCTCTGCTTGAAAAGGGGCATTGCTGGGGCAAGTGAAAGGCAGCCATCACCTTCCTGCTCACCTGAAACAAATGCACACACACACAGAGCAAGGTCCACCCCTCTCAGCCATCCAGTGAGACAGCACTTCATCTCCCAGTCTCCTGAATCTGTCAGCTGGTTATTTCAGCTGCACCACAAAGTCTGGAAACTAAGCCCTTTCCCTGTTTTATCTTTCAAGCTCCTCAGTATGGGCCAGCACTGCCTAGAGAGGATCTTCTGGAAACCAAGGACTTACACTGGAGAATCCAATCACAGAGCTGAAAAGCTCTGCAAGCCACAGAGAGATAAAATACCCCACTCCCCCTGTTTATCTTCTTTTTGGATACCACCTAGAAAAAACTCATCCTCACTAATGCAGGCCTTTCCTGCTGTCATAACACCTTTTATAAATGTAGGGTGTGATGTTCTCCTCTACCACCAAACCCAAAATGTGTTCCCTACCACTTCTGTTCCACACAGGCCCCTCAGGTAAGTACCCCTAAAACTTCCCCATCCTCACCCAAACCCCACATCTCCACCACAGGGGAAGCAAGACACTGGACCCATCATCTCTGTCAGGTGTCCACACCACATATGCAAGCCAAGAGCCACATCCCCAGGGCTCATTGCCAGTTTGTTAGGTATGAATTTTCCCCATGATCCTTAAAGCACATGACTGTAACTCTCCTCACCCCCACACTCCTTTCCAGTGTTGTATCATATGCATCTGTCCATGCTTCTGCCCAATACTTGAGGATCACAAAGCAAAAGTCCCTGCCTCATGCAAGACTGGTGCTACTATCATGAAGCCACAGCTTTGTGGCTGGGCTTCAAGGTATGTGGTCATCAGCAGGAGACAAAGTCTGCATCAGAGCTGTGATGATTCAGGGGGTTTTAGGGTGGTTTTTTTCTTCCCCACCAGCCAATAAGAGCATTCACAGAGGCACTTCTTCTCTGGCAGGAAGCAGGGCAGTTATTCTTCTGGCTGTCAGGCTCCTCTTCTGACGTGGTGGAGATGGCAGTGAACTTCGCCTGTGGCTTCACTGCACTTTGCTGTTTGGCACTCTGGAGCTTCACTGGCACTTCAGGTGGTAAGAATGGAAAGTAATCTCTGTTTTCCTTGTGTTTTAGGTTCAGTGGGTGCTGCTATGTAATGCTCTGGTAAATAACAGCCTTTCCCCGACTGCTGCCCATACCGGCTTAGCACTGCAGGGTTCAGGCTGCAGCTGAAAACTCAACTGCTCGAAAGACTTTCTCCTTGTGTAGTGATCCATGCTATCCAGGGATATCATTTAGGGGTTTTAAAGTCAATTTATGGTTTTAACTCATTTGTCAGTGTTTAAACTCTGCATGACCTTGATTATTAAATCTAAAGACTGTGGGTAACAATCTGACTGCTAAGTACAGATGGACACTTGAGTGCCGATTAGCTGACTTTTAATGAAGCATTAACCTGTTTCATTTCTTTCTTTGCTGAGCAAGGGAACTCTCTTGATTGCAGCTGGCCTTAAATCTTTAGAATGGGAGCTGCAGACATGAGTGTTTTTCTCTGAAGGTTCTGGTTCAGTATTACTGAATATATTTCAGTATTACTTTGGTTCTCATACACAGAAAGAACTCAGGGATGGTGTTTGGTTAGCCAGTAGCTTTTTGTTTCTGCTGTGGTTTCCTTTGGGGGCTGCACAGGCATGCAGGAACTCTGCCATATCTTAAATGTAAAGATAAAGCTCTAGCCTTGCTAGAGGAAGGAAGTTTTTAAAGGAGGGAGTAATGGGGAAGAGGTTTTTCAAAGCATCTGGTGGAAAAAAAAATAAAAATCAACCTGTTGCAATCTGCTTATTTGTTTCACTGCAGTCCAGGAGGGAGCATCCACAGGATTGTTCTCTCATACTGCAGGAACACGGTCCCCAAAGCAATCCTCAAGGAGGAAAGCACAAGAGAGAGCCTCTTAATACAGGATTCAACTCATATCTGCAAGAACAGCCCTTGTTCGCTTAATAACAGTTGGTTGCCTGTTAATTTTGAGCAAGAAAAAGGTCTAACCCTACTATTGCCCAGTAGAAGGAGCAGGAAAAGGGCTGGCTTTTCCATCTCTCTTCAAATTTCTAAATCCAGGAGCAAGGATGGGCTCTGAATATGAATGCTCTGGTCCTAAGCATCTCTCACTAGAGCAGCAAGAGTTGTCTGCTCAGATTATGATATCACACATTTGTGGCCTCCGAGTATTGTAGGTGCCTGGCCAAGTTATGCTGTGCCTGTGCTTCTGTGCAGGCCTGGATGTTTCAGGAATGCTGGTATGCCTACAGCCCTGCACTGCTCTTTGACCCTCTGAGCCAAGTCTGCCTTGTGTCTAGAATGGGGCATCACCTTACACAAATTCAAATTTCTAGGTAATGGCACTCAAGCCAAACCAGGGATGAAACAGTCAAAGGCTGCAGAGAGAAAATCAGAATTACAGGTACCTCATATCAGAGAGTCTCTGGGGTTTGGAAATATAGTACTGCAAACTATTCCAAACAGTAAAAGTGATTTCAGACTAGCGTGGGTGCCATGCAGTGACCACCCTGAATGGGAATGAAAGTATACAAAGAAAACCAAATCCTAGGCTTAAGGAATCAGAGTCCCCAGAGGAAAATGGTGGGATGAAGATCTCCCATAAGGGCTCAGTAGATTTTATACCCACTTTGCTGTGGTATGAGTAATTTTCAACACCAGGTTGCAACAGGTGAAAGACATAAAATGCCCAGTACCCCTTGGTGAAAGCTGGGGAAAAAAATATAACCTATAACCTATCCCCTGCTTACAACACATGGTGTATTGAGTCTACCTGTCTATAACACCTGTCCAGCTTGCTCACCTCTCCAGGTGATGCATTTCAGAGGCCTGGCCATGTGTGACACTGCTGGATCTCCCAGGCACCAGAGTTGGGAACAAGGGCTCTTGGACTCTGACTCTTGGTTTGAATAATACACAGAATAGTTTTCTTCCCATCTGCATAGTGTGATTTCAGCCAGTCTCATTCACCCCATGCCTATAAAAGATGTCACCATGACTCAAGAGGTGTTGAGGGTTCTCAAAAGGCACAAAAGGACATTGTGTTAAGATTGAAAGAGGCTGTGGTTATCACCCCCTTCTACAAAGAACAGTTTCTGATGTCAACACCCTCACCACTACCACACCTGACTTTCCAAAAGGTGTGAGAGCAGATATTCAAGCAGGGTGCTGGGGAGCAGCAAGAGCCCAAGGCAGCAACGTCCTCTCAGCCTGGATGAGAGTCTGGAATGTCCAGTCCTGAATGTCCCAGCTGTGAGGTGAGCTCAGGAAGAAGCTGGTCCCTATAGCTGTTGGGTTGGTATTGATGGCATGGCATTTCTGAGGGAGATAAAGCATAAAGCATGGCATTTCTGAGGGAGAGGACAGCTGGCCTTGTGGGCAAACAAGACTCTGGCTCGAGCTTAATTTCTGCCTGTAGACAGGTCCTGCATGGCCCTCCTGAATCACCTGTGGATGCCAGTGCCTCAAACCCCTGTGAAAAGTTTCACCCATGAGCTGAGCACTGGGTAAGATGTGCTTGCCTTCGGTCCAGGACCTTCAGGAGGCTGAATGGTCACAAGCTTCTGTGACTCTTGAATCCCACCCTTGCTGCAGTGGGAAAACACCATCCCACAGAGAACAGTCTTGGAGCCTACAAGCAGATTCTGGGCTGTTGGGTGAAAAAACACCACAACATTTGCCCAGTGCTGGCTGCACACCCAGTGCCAACATAGATCAGAGGCATGACATAGGAAAGCTCATCACCTCCACACCAGACACAAAGCCACCTGCAGAATATCTGCTTCTCTCCAACACATGGCCTGGGTCTCTCAGCTCCCCCTGCAAGAAAATATGGGGTCATTAAGGTCGTTGGGGTATCAGCCAGGAAGAGAGATGGATTTGTACATCCTTGGGTTGAGGAGGGACGTGGAATTGAGTCTCTCCACTGCAGTTCAAGGCATCAGTCCCTGAGCACTGTTACAAATGGGTGCAGCAATTAACACCTGTGAGAAGGATGTGACATGTGTTAAGTAGGATGTGCATAAGCAACATGTGAGATAAATTCTTGTCACCTTCCATGCTGATGATGGCATGTAATTCTGGTTTGGTTTCTTTTTTTTTTTTCTTTTAATAGACTCTGGATCATCAAGCTGTCTTCAGTTTCTCAGTGCAAACTGGCTTCAGTACACAGCCTATGCTCTGTGCAGCTGGCTGTGGGTGAGAGATCTATCTGTGAAAAAAGCTAGAGGTGATAAAAAGCTTGACTTTCACAGCAGATTTAGTACAACCCCTGTGTGTACATTTGTGTGCACAAGCACACGCAGGCTCACTGCCTGCATGCACACAGGGCCACCTGCACTGGCAGGCCTTGGCATTAGCAGTGGCTGGATGGCACCTTCTGCAGGATTGGAGATTTTTTCCTCTTCTTTGATTTTAGAAGTGGGAAAATGGAGAGGAAGGGAAATGCAAAAAGAGGTGAAATAATGACATCAACTGTAAGCTTCAAGCTTCTTTTAAATGATTGAAAAATAAGCAGTGCATGGGGAAAGAGCTACCCAAGCAAGTAAAAACATACATTAATGTGAAATGCCATGGGTTAACCACCCCCAATTCTGCAGTTTCCATTTCCTACACACCTTGCTTCTCCACTCCATGGCCTTGGTAATCATAGAATTCTTTGGGTTGGAAGGGGCCTTTAAGACCATCTGCCTCCAAACCCCCTGCCACAGACAGGGACATCTTGCACTAGAGCAGGTTTCTCCAAGCCCCATCTAGCCCAGACTTGAAAACTTCCAGGGCTTAAACAATTACCAGTGTCTTATCACCCTTCCAGTGAAGAGTTTCTTCCTAACATCTGAATCCTTCTAACATAAAAACCTCAAGATGCTATCAAAGGTTTAAGGGTGGGGTGTGGGGTAAAAACTTATGTCTGTAAGATAAGATATGCAAATTAAGAGCAGCAGGACTCTCAAGCCAGTGTTTGATATTTTATCAAAACTGTACTGTACTCTGAGCAACATGACCTATCTTTATAAGCAGATTAAAAGTTAGTCCTTCTATAAATGGGGAGTTATACCAGAGACATTTAAATAATATTTGTGATACTCTGTCTTCTTCCAAGTTGTTTTGAGCTCTGTTTTCACTTCTGGCAGCATCCCTTTATGTCACTTCATTTCCTAGCAGTGTTTCACCATTTCAAACACATAAACAAAAATTACTTTGTAACAGATGTGAGCAGAGGCCTTCTGAAGAACAAATGCATTGGGCAAGTAAAAGGGTTTAGAATTGGTTCAGAGGGCTGAAGCTCCCACCCTTTCATGTCCCTGGTGTGTTTTACCCTGATATTTTGTGCTGTTTCAGTTACAAATGTACCATCACCCCACTCAACCGTAAGACCTGGCTCCCCTGTCCCAGTGAACACCAACAACCCTGGGGTCCGCAAGGCCGCTCGCTTTGGGGTCTACAGATACAACAACAGCTCCAATGACCTCTTTCTGTTTAAGGAATCACAGATAAATAAAGCCATGGTACAGGTAAGAGCAGCAGACACCTGATGGTCCTCCAAACCATCTTCTAATTGACTCTCCTATGGCACATCCAAGACACAACACCCCTGATCTTCCTGAGGACTGCTAAAGCTGTCCCCTATAGCACTGCTGCACAGGAGGGCTCTGTGTAGGTGGACACACAGTTCTCTGGTGTAGCACTTGATTCCTAGACAAAGTTTGGGCATCTCTTTCCCCTGCCCTCACTTTACAGGAGGGAACTGTTTTCTCTAGATTGTCAGAGGGCTGAAGTACATGCTTCACGTGGAAATCAAACGCACCGTGTGTGAGAAGAGGGGTCACTCCAGCCTGGACAGCTGTCACTTTCAGAGGGAAAAAAACCTGCAACGGGTATGTGTTCAATTCTCTTGGGGCTCCCAGGAACTGCAGGGGATTAGCTGTACAATCACTTTTAGACCAGCTCTGCCATGTGTTCATATGTGTACAAGCCTCTCCTCTGCAGAGCCAGCTGGGGTGAGGCCAGGTTATCACCTTTTATGCATCCAGGGCCAGCTCCTGTCTGCAAGGAGTTGAACCAGACACATCCACCTGGCCCGTATTCCTGGGTGACTGAGGAGAGTGTGCAGAAATAGAGTAGATGCTAAATACATTTCCTGGGTGGGAGACACTTTACACAGGCTTTCCCACTAGTCAGGATGACTTAGCAAACAGTATTTTTCCTTGGATAAACCAGGCAGACAAAAGGATGCTGTTTTCTCCTGCCTCATCATGGCTGCAGTGCTGAGATCAATCAGCAGACTCCAGAACTTTCTCACCTATTCCCCTTTTATTCACAGATGCTGAGATGCTATTTTGAGGTCTGGATAACACCTTGGACACACAAAGTACATATCCCTGTTGCCCACTGTCACCAAGACCTTAGAGCCTGACTTACACGGGATCTCCCACCATGAGTTTTTCCTTGCCTGGACTGCTGAGGGCAATACTGAAGTGGGAAACAGCTGTACAGAACTGCCAAAGAGCTTTTCTTTCATAGCACATGGTTGTTTTTTCCTTGAGAAAGACACTCCAAAGACAAGGCCTGCCTTGACTGAGTGTCTTTCTATCCAGTTGTGTATCTGTTTTTCCAAAACTAAACTGCACATGAACAAGTGTTGTCATTCTATTGACATCCATCCTCTGGCTGAATTTCCAAGCACTCCCAGGAAGCTCTGTTACACTTGTTTTGTGATCAACCTTTACAAAGCCATGATGGAAACAAGCCTAAACCACAGCACATGTGAATACAACACCGAGGAAAGCTTTACAACCGCGGGATGGTTTGCCTGGGTATACACACACACACAAGTTTTAAGATTTTCCAGTGCCAGGGAAATGGTCAGACACATCTTTCAGGAAGGCAAGAGGGAGAGCTGTTCTTTTTTTAAAGATAGAGCTGTGGATAAGGATGTCTTGAAACACAAACAGCCCAGAAATGACACAGTCCAACTAGTGCTTCCACTTTAATCAAAAGCTAAGCTACACTGTGAAAGGGCATCTCTGCAAATGCCAAGGCAAATAAATCTAATAATATTCCCAAAGAATAATTCTGAGGTTAAATGACATAGCTCCATTCAGGTTAATATACAACATTTAATCTCTGGCAGACCACTGTTCATATTTAGGTTCAGTACAATGATGGTCTTCTCTAGGTGGGCATCCACCATTCTTTCAAGTCTTCACTCTTCATCCATGGGCTTGTTATTGCTTACAGTAGACTAAGGCTCCTATTAGTAAGAATTTGTGTAGCTGCTTCCTTTAAACAGCTGGACGGTCTGAGCCCATGATCAGTCATACAGTCATACACAGACCAGCACTTTTAAATGGGCAGGGCCCTGATCTAAGCCACAAGGAACACTTTTTTCCCCACAAATACTCCTTTTTTTCTGAGAGTTGTTGCCTTTCTGCAGCAATATTTTAACTCCTATTAGTAATACCCCCACTTTCAGCCCTTGTAACAACCATTCTGTCAAGAAAGGCCAGTGAAAGGCTCTAAGCCAAGGTCTGGAGATCTTAAGACAGACAGTATTAATAGTACAGCTGAGTATCTGCTCCAAGTAATCCCAAAGCTGGGCAGGTTTCAAGTTCTCCTTCAGAAACACCACTTGTGATGAACAGGTGGCCCAGCAGCAGCTCAAATTCAGCATCCAGTACTGGAGAGGGAGCCGTGCTGCATCTTATCTTCAGGAACAGCAGTGTCTTGTGTGGAAAAAAAACCCCTAAAACAGTGCTCAAAAGAAAGTTCCAGAAGGGCCACAAGAGGATGTAATGTGATGCTACATTCAGCCATCACACAAAGCCACCACCACCAGCCTGGTGCCAAAGACAAGGAGAAAGAAAGTCAGCTATGGTGGCTTGGGCTGTCCACACAGCAGGAAAGCCAAGCCACAGCTAAGTTTGTAGGAGAGCAACAAAAGCCAGGAAGAGCTGCTCCTGGCATTTCAGAGGGGTTAGGAATGGTCCCAATTCCTCTTCTTCAGCTGTATGCTTCACACAATGCCAAGGGCTTCCAACCAGGCTGTCAGCTCTGGACAGTCTGGGCCAGAACAGGATGGACAGATCCATGTTCCTTCCTTCAGCCAGCAGGACAGACTGGTGTTCAGGAACAGATGTCATTTGCCTCTCACATGCCACCACAGGGGTGAGCAGGCAGCACGCTGTCACTTCAGGTCTGTGCAGAGATGCATGCAGGCAGTGAGCTTGTCACACAACAGTGTCCCCTGTGCAACTCTCCAAGCCCCTGACACACAGCACTTCATCTCAGTCACCAAGCCAATTCTCCATTTGTCAGAGCAACAAAAGTTAAAGCCAGGTGAACTTGGCATCATGCAGGCTGACAAATCCAACAGGCCTTTGCTGTTCTCCCAAGGAAAATGCAGCACGACTGCTCAGACCTCTCTATCCAAACAGACAAGCACCTGCTGAGAAAGAGAGATCAGCCGTATGTTCAAAGCTGCATCCAAGTGTTCACTGTGACATATAATTCCAGTGTGCTTTACAATAAGAAAGGCACACTGGAATTGTAGTATCCATCATCCCCTCAGCTATGGTAATAGAGCTTTCATCAGCACCAAAGAAAGGAGCAGAGCTAAACTGAGCTCTTTGTATCACTCCACAGCACTTCACTCAGGAAGGATTTGGGTAATTAAAGAGGAGGACACTGCTAGCACTGACCTAAAGAACTGCAGCTAAATACCACTTAATCACAATGACATGCAGCCGTCAAAAAGCCAATGCCTCTGTCCTCTGCATCTTGGCTACAATTTACACCAAGGTTAACAGTTCACCAATTCACTCCAAGGAGTTCATACCCTTGCAGACCTTGCTGGGTCTCTGGCATCTATTTCAGGTTACAATGGCAATTCAAAAATATTTTTAGTAAAGATTTAGGGCATGAGGTGAGAAGGAAAATTTGCTTCTACCAGCCCTGTATGTTGAAGAAAAAAGGAACAATCCCAGCAGTGACATTAAGAGCTTGTGGGATAACCACAACGTGAGTTTTACCAGAGCTTCAAAATGGCCAGTGATCTTCAAATGAAGATCTGAATTTGCTCAAAAGCTCTGCTCTGCAAATATTTTCTTTCATACTCCCATTTTTTAAATTGCATAGGAAACAAACTGCCTGCCACCAAAATATGAAGCATTGCTGACTGACAGACTTCCCACTTTGCATTCTGTTGACAGCAGCAGCTCTATATGAAGGACCTGGAAGTTCTGCCTTTACCAGATGCACCCAGTTTCACAACCTGACTGACTTTCAGAGCCCACTGACAGCTGGGGGAGTCACAGCTACATGGAACCAACACAAGGTTTAGCTGGCAGCAGACAGATAAGGAGACACGACAGCTGCTGACTGAGAGAAAAAAGCCTTGCACACATGGCTAACTACACCAACTTACTGCTAAATTCTTCAGTCCTTACCTCAAATTAGTAAAAATCAGCTGCCCCCTGTGCTCATTCTTTTGCAGCACTGTTTTTAAGCAAGCTAGATGAGAAGGCCCAAGTGTCAGCATCATCAGATCCCTGTTGTGATCACTGAGCAGACAGACCCAGAAGCTTAAGAGGTCATTATCTCACCTGCAAAGTTTTTACTGGCACAAAGCAGACACAAATTTAAAGTAATCAGATTTATACCAAGGCTTTGCAATCACTTTCATCAGCTGTTCACACTGAGAAAATAACCTTTACATAAAAGTGTCGGGCACACAAGTTATGTTCCAACAGCTCCAGTACAGAAGTAGCTCCAGACAAGAAACAAGGCAGTTAACTGTGGAGTAACATTTTAAATACTTTCAGCAAAATCTTCTCGATACTTGTGCCCTGCAGAAACATTTATTCCACCAACAAGGCAAAACAAAACACAATTTTGAAATGCAGAGCTGTGGTGTACTCCAGCTCAGTTCCTTTCCTTGGATAGTTTTACTGCAAGGCTTTACATAAAATAGAAAACTTCTCCAAGCCTTTCAGAAGACAGGGCAACATTGTCTCATATGCCATAGTCTGTCCCAAAAGAAACTTGGTAACACACAGGAAGTAGCCTCAGGCTTCTCTGGGAGTTATGCAGCTCTGAGGACTTCCTCCCTCCTTAGGGAACGACAGCCCTCTTCTTCTGCCACCAAAAGCCAAACATGCTCTGACAAGACCTTTGGATACCTCTGTAAATGCTCTTGCATCCAGTAAGACTTCTCACACTAGAGAAAAGCCAGTCTCAGAGCTGCAGAGGTGTCATATTCCTGCACTCCTATCATCAAAAGAGAAGGCTGGCTGTTTTTTTCCAAGCCTGACTTATTCCAGGTTTCTCCTTGCTCAAGGCAGGTGTGTCACCATCCATCTGAAATCCACACAGCATTGACTCAGCCTCTGTGGAAGTGGAATGAGCCTGAAAAACCAGTCCTCACAGGAGCATCAAGAGTACTTTATGCTAGTTTGTTTATTCCACAGGCATTTTAGTGCTGCTGCTTTACTTTTGCATTTGAGAGAAAATCAAAGATTAGAGGGTTTTTTTTAAGAAAAAAATAGTTTCTAGAAAAATACTGTTCTTAAGCACCCCTTATGGTGAATAATGAGACCTGTGTGTCAGTCAATCTGTTTCATCTGGGTTTTATTACAGATCCCCCCACTTCTGCATACCATGGATGGATTATCAGGATCCAGCACAACACTGGGAATGGGACCTGGCTAAGATGGAAGTGTTAAGGTTCTTATGAGAAATGGAACACCAGTGGCCTGGTTAAGCAGCCTGTCACCATGCAAGGTTTGTTTCTCAGCACTGTACCACCCACCACAGCTGGGACTTTACAGACTTCAGAGATATTTAATCTCTCAGACTGAATAAAGCCTGTCTGACCAGCCTGTACAAATAGAGGAAGCTTACGGGGTACAAGTCCAGTCAGTCTGCAGTACCCTTAAAAAATAAAAATTAACTGAGAACTGCGCTCTATCCAAAGGTTACTTGATTAAATACTTTGGCAAATAAATCACTAGTGATAACTGTGTACTAAGAGGCAAAGCTGTGCTTGCCCCAAGGGTGCAAAAGCATCAGCATAAAAGAATCACCACAGTAGATTTGCTTTTTCAACCCCAACTTGAGATCACATTAACTTTCATATCTCACCAGAAGAGGACAAATATTTGCAAGGGCAGGCAGAGCAGTGTGAACCAGCTGGTGCTTAAGCAGCCTGCCCTGGACTGGGTTTTCCCAAAAAGAGCAGCCCCTGGCCTGTACAGAAACAAATAAACCTGATCCAGGAGCCATCAGCTATGCCACAAGACTGCTGCAGCCTGGCAATTACACAGAACAAGGTGACAGAAGCACTGACAGGGAAGAGCAATTTTCATTTGCATAGCCCTCCATTAAGAGAAGAGCAGAAAGCCAGAGAAATCAGGTGACATTTTTAGCATCACCTTCCCCTTTTCTGGTGCTTTTTGTTATATATTTAAAGCAAATCTCTCTCCTTTGCAAAGGTGAAGAAATGCAGCAATAGTGTAAGTTTAGGTTGTATTGTCACCCAGTGGCTGAAAAGGAGAGAGCAGCAAAAGCTTCGATTCCTAAGTATCAATGCACTAAATTACACAGCTGCTGAAGCAACCCCTTTAGTTCTTCAAGATGCAAAACCTCTTATTTAAAATCACAGTATGCTTTGGGTTGGAAGGGACCCCAAAGATCATCAGGGACACTTCCCATGAGACTGGGTTGCTCAGACCCAGTCCAGCCTGGCCTTGAACACTCCCAAGGGTGGGGCATCCACAACTTCCCTGAGCAGCATGTTTTAGTCTCTCTGCTCCGTGATCCTGCCAGGCACAGAGGTGAGACTGACAGGCTGTAGTTCCCCAGGTCTTCCTTTCTTCCCTTTTTTTAAAAAAAAATGAGGGTTATTTTCCCCTTTTCTAGTTGGTTGGAGTATAACTGGACTACCACAGCTCCTCAAATACAATGGATAGTGACTTAGCCCCTTCATCCATCAGTTCTCTCAGGACCCGTAGATGCATTTTAACAAGTCCTGTGCACCTTCAGATGATCTAAATGTGATCTCCTACAGCAGCTGATTCTTCACTCTCCCAGTGCCTGCCTTTCCCTTCTGCAGCTCGGGCAGTGTGGCTGGAGCACTTCTGGTGGAGACAGGGATAGAACAGTCACTGAGCACCTCAGCCTTTGCCACGTCTCCAGTAGTCAGGTCCCCCCTTTCCTTCCAGAGAGGGTTCTCATTTTTCCCAGTGTTTCTTTTACCACCCACATACCTGCAGAAGCTTTTCTTGTTGTCCTTGATGTCCCTGGCCATGTTTAATTCTCTTAGGGCTTTATCTCCTCTAACCTGATCCCTGGCTGCTTGGGAACCTCTCTGTATTCCTGCCAGGCTACAGCTCCTGCTTCCACCCTCCAGAGGCTTCCTTTTAGTGTCTGAGCTAGTCCAGGAGCTCATTGTTCACAAGGCCTCCTGGCATTTTTTCCCAACTTCCTCTCTACTGGAATGCATCACTCCTGAGCCTGCAGGAGGTAATCCTTGAACATCAACCATCTTTCCTGGGCCCTTCTTCCCTCCAGGGCTTTATCCCATGGTACTCTACCAAGCAAATCCCTGAAGGTGCCAAATTCTGCCTTTCTGAAATCCATGGCAGCAAGCTTGTTCTACACCCTCCTCCCTACTCTAAGAAACTAAAACTCCATCACCTCATGATGCCTGCCAAGGCTGCCCTTGAGCTGCACATTCCGCCTCCTTGTTGGTGAGCACAAGGTCCACCATAGCCCCTCTCCTCCCTGGCTCCTCTGTGAAACTGAGTTATTGTCTGGAATTCCTTTGTGCTGCCAGCCATTGCAGCCACAAAACCTAACAGCACAGGCTTTCCTTTGCCACAGCTGGCAGCAAAGCATTCTCTGGATTTACCAAGCAGAGTATCTGTTAACAGAGTTATCTCTGTTAGCAGAGATGCATCCATGAGCTACTACTGCATTCCAAAAACTTCCACCAAAGCCTTCCTCATCCACCAACAATAGATTTTACAGAGGCCATTTGAGTCCACATCCATCATCAGACACCAATCTTCCCCAAAACCTTTACCACTTCTTCATAAAAAGCATGTTGAAGACGATTCCTGCAGCTAGCCCTTTTCTGCCTGGAATGGTCACATAGATAACGAACAGGAGACATCCAGGACCTGGTAAAACATGGAGGAAATTCTACAAACAACCCTTTTCAGACCCATTGGAACTAATCCTTAATAACATAGAAAATGCAACTTCATTCATCATCTGACCTCAATGTTATAAAGAAACACAGGAGCCCACAGGTAAGGATCCAATTTGATTCTGCATGTTAATTAACAGTTAATTGCAATGTCTGCTGTTATTTACACAGGCTGGGACTGAAGAACCCCAATGGCATAACTAGATTCCTCGGCATGTCCTGGATGTTGCTGCCTCTACCACAGCACCACGGTATAACATTAGAACATGCACTGTATTCACTCTGGGACAGGAGGCACTAAAACAGAAATAAACACATGCAAGTCACCCTCTTCCACCCAAATCACACACTGTTAAATTCCATCCATCACAAATCCTTCCAGTGTAAGAGAACATAAAGTGGCATTAAAGGCGACATGATGGTGTCTGTTCAAGATGATTCCAAACAAGGCTGGGCACAGGAAAATCAATGGATTTCCTTGGAGGAACAAAGAACTGAATGAAGATGCCTCACCATAATCCTCAGATATGAACAATAATACAGGCCAACTTCAGAACATGAGCAGTCAGCCAAGACAGAGGAGAGGTACAGCAAGCTGTATCTCTTCCTATGGCCACAGTGCTCCTGCACCTTAAGAGACTCTCACTTTTTGTCCTTGGTCACACACTGTCTAAAGCACATGGTTCCTTTGCACTTCTGGAGTAGTACAGGACAGTGGGACTTCATCATGGGTGGGCAGTTAAACATGCTGGAGATCAAGTCTGCCAATGTAGGGAGAGCGGAAGGATCCCAGGTAAAGGTGTCCATTGTGCTCATGTGCCTCGCTGACATAAGCTACTGTCACTCCATTGGGATCATGGAAGCTTCTTTTGTAGGATCCTGTCTCACTGAGTTCAACAACAAGGCTATATTTGGGTACAAACTTTGTCACAGTTTCCTGACTCAGCAACTGAAAGAAAAGAAAGAAAGAAAAGAAAATTAACGAAAAGTTTTGTTCTCCACAATCTGATCTCAGACATTTATACAGGCAAAGACCACTCCACGCTCCTCAGAAGCAGCAGCTAAGAACACAAGGACACATTTTGAGTAAACACTCTTACACAGGGTTAACACATTAGTATCTGAAAAGCCAGCTTGAGAAGAAACAAAAGGATCAGCAGAAGCTCACTCTACTCCAGAGGCAGGCTGAAAGGCTGCCCATGTAAGAGGTAGCAGCTTGCTCTGGTGCAGCTGATGCCAAGCTCCCTGCAGCATCACTCAGAGCTCCTGCACTGCACCAGGAGAGACAGGGACAGCATAGAGCTTGTTCAGCTGGAATGGAATCCTAAGCACTGCGTGCTGGATTTTATTTTTTCGAGGACAGAAGTATTTTCAAGTCTTTGCATTGTTTAAAAAGCACCATGCTGTTTCTTTAGCCCTTAAAAAAACACATTATCCTTCCTCATCCTAAAGCGGGGTGACACAAAAACAGGCAGAGTGAACCAGAACAAAATGTCACCTAACACCATCCACAACGTACACACTGTCTCCTAGGGTGCCTAGGGCAGTCATGGGAACAGCTCACACTTCCCAGATGCTCTTCAGACACCTGGCAATAAGCAGTTTAGGCACTTCAGGTGAAGTCTTCACATATCCAAATGCTGATCCTGTCTTGCTGCATGGTTAGAGAGAGTCCCTTTTTCTTTCCTAAGATCAAGATGGAAGGCAACTTAAGAGATGTGTACCTGCTACTCAGAGAAGCAAACGTTAAATTTTACTACCTATTAATAAATAAGGGCTGTTTCTACCAGGGGAAAGCAACAACAGTTTTAACCACAGCATCTAATGTTTTTTAAAATCTTCCTGTGAAGAGGAAGAAACAGGACAAACAAATATTTCTCACTTCCATTCCTCCAACTAAAGGTGATTATTTTTTAAAAAAAGTTCTTTTTATTTTATTTTAATTTTTTTACCTTAAATATCATCCTTTTAATCCATGGTTTTTCAGATAAAAAGTCCAACAAAGAAAATCCAGGATTGGGTCGCACAGCTGCCATAGCTACCCAATATCCTCCAGAGCTGCTTAACCTGATATTGTCTGGAAGACCAGGCATATTCTCAACAAACATATCTGCTCCACCTTTCATCAGCCCAGACACATAATACCTGAAAGTTATAGATAATACATTAGAACATTTTAACTCAATCAGTTTACATAACAAATGAGAGTCCCAAGATTTAAAAAAAACAGTCCTTCTCCTGTTATTTTCATACAGGGAAATACAGCACTGCCACACACTTCTCCTCAGGAAAAAAGTCAGCTTACTCCACTATGATTAAGGAGGCCCATGATGGAAAGATTACACAACCCAGATGTTTACAGTGAAATAAAAAAATTCAGTATTGAGGAAGGTCACCTTGTCGTTTTTAACCAGGCATAACTAAAGTGTAGGGTTTCTTTTGTCATTCCATTTCTTTATTTAAACAATCCCTAAACAGATTAGTAATAATTCCAAAGTCATACTCACCTTCTGATTCTAGCCATGGTTGTCTCCTGCACCAGGACAAAGTCTTCTGCAGGAGAGAGCTGCACACCATTGGGGAACCTCAGCCCCACCATTAAGACTTTCACTTCTTTTGTCACTGTGTCATATTCAAGGAGGCTGAAAATAAACCATTTTTGAGTTAAGATGAATATTTATACATCTGTGTTTCATTCTTCAGGCATTCCATCTTTTCTCACATGCACCACGTTTAAGTTAAGAAGGCAGAATAGGCAGGAAGCATTTGTTTATGAACACAAGAGAAATAACAAGGCACTTGAGACTGGCAGTATTCATGAAGGATTTGGGCTGAATGTAATGCTAACACCTTCACTTTTAAAACAAATGTTCCATGCCACTCTTCTTGAAGGAAAAAGGGGAATATCATTTATTTTGCTGCAGGTGTCATTAGCAACACCCATGCAATTCCCTCACCCTCCCCTGCACAGTGCAGTGTTTGCAAAGGTGGGTTTACAAAGAGAAAAAATGTGAAGATCAAGGAAGTGGTGAAGCCCACTCCTACAACTGAGCTTACAGCAAGTTAAATCCTTTGGGAAGGAGATACTTGCCGCCCATCATCCGTGCCTTCCATAACCAGGAACAAGTAGTCTCGTCTTTGCCATTTACTGCTGGAGTCGGTGAAGTAGATCTTCCTCCCGTCCCTGGTCACTGTAAGATCGTTTACAAATGACAACTTCTGGCCTTCTATCAGGGTTTTGCTTGACACCAGTGTCTTGGTTTCACCTGGTTACAAAAAAGAAGAAAAGACACAATGTAGGCACACCAAAATGTATCTCTCTTCACTTTGTGCAGATTTGGGTTACAGAAAAGTGAAGAACTTGGCACTACCACAGTGAGATCCGAAGGCAGAAACAGAAGTACAGCAAACATGACAACAGGTTTTATATACCAATCTTTTTCCTTTCCTTTTATGAAAACCAAAACAGCCACAACAGAGCTCTATAGATGGATCTTGGGATCCCAATTTTAACAACAAAAACCATGTAACACCAGAAGATAAGTCACTAGTAGCTCTGATCCAGACAGCCAGATACAGGGAGGAAGTGATTGCTACAGGAAAATAAATATCAAATTCTTGCATGACTCATTTTATCCAGACAGCTTCAAGTCACTTTACAAAAAAGACAGGCATTGTTTTGCCTGCAGCATCTGCAAAACTGCAAACGAAGCCCGGATTTGTCAGTGGAAGAAAACTTTGGAGCAGAAAAGTCATACCCGTAGCAGGATCAACTTCGTAGAGTCCGTAATAAGCATCTGCCACAAACAGGGTGTTATTTGGCCCCACTCGCATGCCAAGCGGTCTTCCACACGTCGGCTCATCTTCACGGCCTCCTTAGGAAACAATTTCAAAATGTTTTTCCAAACAGAAATAAACACAAGGCATTCAGTGTACCTACACAGGTGTGCTGGGTCTGGCTGAGATGAAGAGCCCTCCCAG